TATCCTTGGATTCTTTGCTTAGATTATGTTCTTCTCTCTCGGCACAAGCAACAGATATCGTCTACATGAACCCCTGTAGACCCTCCGTTTCCAACGTTTCATCTTCGTCGATGTCGAGCCCCTTCCATACGTCCTCTACAACCTTGACCCATTCCGTGGGTTGTCTACCCCTCTTTTTGTTTGCCCACTTCGCCTCCCATACAATTCTCGGCAACCTCTCCTCTCCCATCCCGCACATGCGATACTGCCATGTCAGCTTCCTCGCGTCTCTTCCCGACCGTAGGGATTGGATCCCCAATTCTGCCCTCACGGCTGCATTACTTGTGCGCTTGGAGCATCCTAGGATGATTTTCGCTGCTTTCATCTGCGCCGCCTCGAGTTCTTTCACTACCTTCTTATTTCCTTCCCATACTTCTCCGGCGTACTCTAGCGGCGGTACGATTACGCTCTTCAAAACCGTCAATTTGATGCGTGTATCGAGGTGCCGGTTTGCGAGTATTGGGTGCAGCTTCCCTGCTCGTGCTTTGCCCTTTTCCGCTACCTTGGACATGTGTGCATTCCACGAGCAGTCTTTTGCGATCTCTACTCCGAGGTATGTGTACTGGTCCACTACTGCAATCTCCTCGATCCCCCACTTCCACCAATCTTCTACTGGTTCCTCCTTGTTCTCGTTGCCTACCATGACGGCACTCTTCCTAACGTTGGCAGACAATCTCCACTTATCAGTAAACTTCTTCGCCGCGTCAATTTGCAGTTGCAGTCCCTCAGGGGTGTCCGACATACCAAACGTTGGCAGACAATCTCCACTTATCAGTAAACTTCTTCGCCGCGTCAATTTGCAGTTGCAGTCCCTCAGGGGTGTCCGACACACCGACAAAATCATCCAGAAACAGCATTCATTCCTGAAACCGATATTTCCGTGTCCCCTAGTTTTACTCCCTTCCGGCCTGCCTCTACGACTTCCAACAGATCGTTGATGAACACCTGGAACAATGTTGGGGACAGCGTGCAACCTTGTGGGACCCCCTGCTCAATGTCGAAGAATTTTGACAGTTCTCCGTCTAGCATGACCGCGCTTTTCGTACACTCTGTCATCTTCTTCAGCACTCTCCACATTTTCCCCTTGATCCCGTATTTGGACAGTTGTTTCCACAACCCATTTCTCCACACGGTGTCGTATGCCTTTTTCACGTCCAGGAAGAAGCAGTACGTCGGCTTTCCCGCCCTCTTTCTACCTTGGATGATTCTCCCTACCGTGAACACGTGGTCTACGCACCCCCTCTTCTTGCGGAAACCTGCCTGGCCCTCACTAATGCTATGTTCCTTCTCCAACACTCCCACCATCGTTTCGTTCAGCAGCTTACAGAACCTTTTTCCTACTGTATTCAACAGTGTGATCCCCCTGTAGTTTCCTGGGTCAGTCTTGTCTCCTTTCTTGAACAAGTTCACAACCACTCCTTCCCTCCATCTACTTGGCGTATACTCGTTTTTCCACACCCAATTGTACAGCAGTACCATCAGCTGGATCATCCCCTTCCCCCCAAACTTCATGAACTCGTTGACTATCCCATCCGCTCCTGCTGCTTTGTGGCACTTCAGCTTGTTCACACACGCCTCAACCTCGTCCTCAGTGAACTCCTTTTCTAGTTCTACGTTCCCAACGTCTGCCTTCGATGTCTCTTCTTCTTTTTGGGCCCATTCGTCCACCTCCTCCCAAAACACTTGGTCAAAAGCTTCATTCTCCGAGGGCACTCCAAGTCTCTTGTAGTGTCCTGCTAGAACTTCCCTTTTTCCCTTCCCACTGCTGACTAATCCACCGTTCACACCTCGCAAAGTTGC